TAGTGGCCTTGTCATTCCATCAGGCAGTTTTCCCACAGACGATTATTACCTCTGGTTCTTACAATCTTACCACACCCTCTTCCACGATGATCCATGAGCTTGAGTGGAGGGTTTGATACCAATGTCCCCTCTACTGTCTTTCTTTCTCTGTACATTGATCAGTTGTAGGTCTCTATTTAATTGCCATCTGTCTACTGTAAGAAGAAACTTCTCCAATAGCAGGTAAGAGATGCACTAATCAATGAATATAAAGATAAGAACTTTGTGGTGGATAACTTAATATTTTGTTTATTAAGCAGCAATAGAGTATTGAGTTCTCCCCTAGGATCATCACCACCCTGACCTAGTTAACCACAACTTTTGACTCTAGTTAATGGTACCTGGCATGAGTTCTGTCTTTTATAGTGGAAACTTGTTGGTTACCTCCATAGAGTTCATTATACTGGTATGCTTATTTTGCAAGGGCAGTTGTGAGTATAGATAACAGGTTTTACAGCTGGGTGAGACTGTTGACTGCTTTCTCCTCAAATAGCATGCAGAGAACCTTCCAGTACCGTTATAGCCATGTGGGATGTATCTAGATTCTATGTATATAAGGAAACATGGCTGGGCTGGAGAGATGGCTCATGGGGCAATAGAGATGGCTCAGAGGTTAAGAGCACTCTCAGCTCTTCCATAGGTACTGAGTTCAAATCCCAGTACTACATTATGGCTCATAGCTATCTATAATGAGATCTGGTGCAGTCTTCTGACATTCAGGAATATATGCAGGCAGAACCCTGTATGCATAGTAAATAAATAAATATTAAAAATAGAAAACATTGCAATTATTCTTTTGAATTTTTATTTCCTTTAACATAAGGTTTTACACTTTTCTACAGATTTCAAAAGATGAAAAAATGTTTTTATACAATTCAGTATATCTTCATAAAAAAGTTATGTACAAATGTGCACACATAATAATAATTAAAGAAGAGGTCATAAGTTTTAGACAGAATGGGGAAAACACAGGAGGAGCTGGATGGATATAATGAACTATATCACTCATATAAGAAATTCTCAAAATATTAAATTAATAAAAACAGCTTCTGCAAAGGGCCTGTGAGATGAGTCAACAGTTAAAACTCTTTGCCACTCTTGCAAAGGACCAAAGTTTAAATCCCATGTTGTGAAACTCACTATTACCTGTAACTTCATTTCTAGAGTATCCAAGGCCCTCTTCTGGCCTCCATGGGCACCCAAACATGTGGTAAATGAACAGAGAGAGACACAAGCAGACATAAATAAAAAAAGAAAAAATTTTAAGTTTAGATTCAACTAGAACATCAGCATATTAAATACTAGACACTGTGGCTTGATCTCATACAGGTATTGCTTAGACAACTACAGTTTCTATGAATTGATGAATGCAATGGTCCTATCATCGTACACTAGACATTGTTTTGTCTAGTCCTCCTTGATCTCTGGCTCTTGCTAATTTTCCATTCAATTTTTAGTTATAGTCCCTGAGACATGGTGAAGGGTATGATAAAGATGTTCCATTTGTGGCTGAGCACTCCAGAATCACTAGTTCTTTGTACTTTGACAAGCTATGAATTTATGAGGGGTAGGTAGGTAAGTAGGGGTGAATTCAATTAATTTAGAAGGTAAGGATATCAGGATAATTATAATCAAATTTCATTTGATGAAATGATCAAAGAATTAATAAAATATATAAAGAATATATAGGATTAAAATAGCTAATATTTATAGTAAGTGGAGTAAATGGAGAAACCAAAAATCATTTTCCATAAAATAATAAACTTGACAAATGTTCTGCTCTCATTACTTTTATTTAATATAGTGCTTGAATTCTTCATTGGAGCAATAAGGGAAGAAAACGAAAGATATTAAATGAACATATGAATTACAACAATGATGAGCATGGTACAACTGCCCTAAAATTGTCATAAAATGCCATGGTTGCAGTCTTTCCTTGGTGGCAATCAACAGCTTTTTAATTGGATTTGGCAAGAAGAAAATCTTGTCTGGTACTGGAAATCCAGACAATTATCTGAGGCTTGTAAGGTCCTGGGTCCTAGAGGAGAAGTTATAGCCAACACTCTATTAAACTAGCATAATTCCTAAACTCATTCTAAATGTTTGTGCTTCTACCCATAGTTCAGTGTAGCTTTTGTCACAAAGAATCTTCTCTGCAACAGATAGAAACCATTACAGAAAATCACAACCAATCAAAAAGCAGAATATAAGTGGTTGTGGGTGCCTAGTCCTGGTTAATCCATTCATAATGCAGCTCCAAGGCTCAGGAAATATTGAGGGAGATGAATTTTAAGAGCCAGAGGAACAGAATTTTGACTGTGAGAGCACATCTCCTAGAAATGTCATGGAAACTATACCCATGAAGTCTCAATAACGTGGCTGCCTGAACAAGATCTGAACAAGGACAACACAAACAGACCTGTGAATATGGAAGGGGATACATCTCATGGGGCACCAAGCCTAGACAAAAACCTACAGGAAACTCTGGAATGCTGAGAATGGGAGAAAATAGTTTGCCCAGGAAACAGCCACACAATTCAAGAGTCAATATCAAGTGATCAACCCTGAAATCATACCCTATTTAGACTGAGCAAGGTGCATTTATATATTTAATGCTATACATACATATGAGTGTGTGTGTGTGTGTGTGTGTGTGTGTGTGTGTGTGTGTGTGTGAATGACAACATATAAGAAAAAGAGGCCAGAATATAGGATTAAATAAGGTACAGGTTACATGGGAGTGGTTGAAGGGAGGAAATAAAAAAAAGAAAATGAAGTACTTATTTTTATATATGCATAATTATATATATATAATCAAAATAAATAACATATTTATTACAAAAATATTTTTATTTTTTGAGATCATAATATAATTACATCATTTCCCCCCTCTGCTTTCCTCCTTCAAAACCCTTACATACATCCATTCTTGCTCTCTTTCATATTCAAGGACCCATTTTCATTAACTGTTTTTACATACATATGTTGCTAGAGTTTTCCTGCCTGGCCCACAGTCAGGACAAATCTCTCTCACCTGCCAGTCCCAAGCCGCTCAAACCTGATCAAGTAAACACAGAGACTTATATTGGTTACAAACTGTATGGCCGTGGCAGGCTTCTTGCTAACTGTTCTTACAGCTTAAATTAATCCATTTCTATTAATCTATACCTTGCCACATGGCTCGTGGCTTACCGGTATCTTCACATTCTGTTTCTCATCGTGGCGGCTGGCAGCGTCTCTCTGACTCAGCCTTCCACTTCCCAGCTCTATTCTCCTCCTTGTCCCGCCTATACTTCCTGCCTAGCCAATGGCCAATCAGTGTTTTATTTATTGACTAATAAGCAACACATTTGCCATACAGAACATCCCACAGCATACATATATTCACATGTAATATATATGTATTTGTAATACATTGATAAATGTAATTAAAATGAAAAATAATTCAGTGAATTTATCATATGGCATCTAACTCTAAATTCAACTAATCATAATATATGCCGAAAACATGGTCTCTCCTTTGTTATTTAATTATGTCAATGGCTCAATTTCAGAAAACTTCAGTTGTGAAAAGAGGGAAACATTTGAAGCTCAAAGAAATGACTTCAATAATTAGTAGACAAAATCTCTAATTTTCTAGATGGGGTATAAGTACTGTTTTTTTTAAAAAATAATAATTTAAAATGTACATTGAAAAGCAATACCCAATTTTCCAGAGAAATAAATTAAATTATTTATACAATATATAATATGCTCTCTAGACTTTTTATCTAGACTTAACAGATTTTTTTCTTTACACAATGAGGCAATAATTTTGATTCATTATTTATCTCTTTTTATGTCTTTTCTTATATTTAATTGAGAATTATAAAGAAATTTAGTATTATATGTCTTACATCTCTTTAAAGAAACTAGTGATGCTTTGTAATTTTTAACACACTCATCACACATTCAACTAGTAGTATTCTCTTCAAGGAACTATATGTACCTTTAGTAGCCTCTCACAAGTTGTACCCCATCCTTTACAATATTGTTACTTTTCACTTCTATCATTCATATGGTAACATTATTATTTTAGTTTGAATACTTCTTTGAAACACTAGGTATATGTTAAGCATTTGAAACAAAATGGATGCTTTAGCTTTATTCTTTTCTAGTATATTCTTTCTTCATATATACTTACGTCTTTTATTTCCTTAAATTTCCATATTTCAGACGAATTGTGTTTAACATTCCTATACAACACAACATACCTGCTTCAAATGTTCTTATTTCAAGTAAGTTCATGTTGTCTATATTTACTGACTTACCAGATGTTGAAGTAGCAATTTGCAGGCTAACTTTACTTCTCTGGTGAAAGGAAGAGACATGATCAATTTTGAATTTTCTCACAAAAATGGAAGTAGTATAAAATGCTCTAAAAATTTCAGACTACACTAGACCTAGAAAGATCATACTTGAGCACAATAATGGATATATATTGTTCGTTCACTGGCTTGATCTCGTACAGCTATTGTGCTGGTTGCCACAGATGCTATGAATTACTCTGAAGTAAGGACTGCAGTGACAGTATTCAAACTTCTACATATGAAATATAAACTGAAATCATTGTATTTATTTTTCCTTGAAGTTTCTCACTAGGTATAGAGACAGTATATTAAATATACTTAAATCTACAGACAGAGAAATTGACAGGAAGCTATATTACGATGGGTAATATGTACAAAATCTGAAGCAGAACTGTGTAAAGTGAAGATATTGAATGAAAAGATAAATTAGACATGGTTTACATAAAATTAAAATAGAAGACTAATACACAAATATTGCATCACACCATAAACTCCTTCTATGAAAAATAACACGAAATAGAAATAGCATTTTACAATGGCATCATAGCAAAAAATTAAAGCCCCATTATTTCATGAGGCATACTTTTCCATCACAAATGTTATTTAAATAATTTAGTACTCAGTAATTTTCAAGTGTGAGAAGAGGCTCAGCACTCGGTCCCGAATCTGTTTTGTCTTGATACCATACACCAAGGGATTGACTGTGGGGGGCACTAGAAGGTACAGGGTGGACAAAATGATATGGACACTTGGAGATACATTCTTGCCAATGCGATGAGTTAGGAAGCTGAACAGTGAAGGTGTATAGAAAGCAAGAATGGTACACAAATGGGCAGCACAGGTGCCCAGGGCTTTAGAGCGGGCATTCTGGGAAGAAAGTCTGAAAACTGCTTGGAGAATTTTTACATAGGATGTGGCTATCAGCCATAGATCCAATAGTATCACCGAAAGGGCCACTGAGATTCCATATGCTCTGTTAATGAGAGTGTTGGCACTGGCTAATTTCACCACAGCCATATGCTCACAGTAGGCATGATGGATAATATAGCTTGTGTAGTAGGGCAGCCTCTTAATGAGAAGAGGACAAGGCAAAACCATGAACAGAGCTCGGCTCAAGCCAACAAAGCCCAGTTTAATAACCATAGATGTGGTAAGAATGGTTGAATAACGTAGTGGAAAGCAAATGGCCACAAAACGATCAAAAGCCATGGCTACCAGGATGGCTGACTCAAAAATACACAGTGTGTGTATAAAGTACATTTGAGTTAGACAGACATCAAACTCAATCCAGTGTTCATTAAACCAGAAAATACCAAGCATTTTCAGGGCTGTGGAACAGGTAAGTAATATATCATTCATTGCCAACATGCAAAGGAAGAAATACATAGGCTGGTGGAGGCTTGGTTCTAGTTTGACAGTAACAATGATTATGCTGTTCCCCAGCAAGGTCAGGACAAATAGGAAGCAGACAGGAATGCTGATAAAGCAATGAAAATCTTCCAAGCCAGGAATACCAACCAGGTAGAAAAATGAAATATAGTGATGTGTTGTATTGTTTACCATATTATAACAGGGAATATTTCAAGTTTTGTAAATAATAACTAGGATAATCTCCAAAATGCAGAGATCGGATTGCAAAGCATTTCTTTCGGGGATCTTATGTTTGGAATCTAGAAATGCAAACCTAGATCTCCACAACGCTAGAAAGGCTCAGGTAAACTAACCCATCCTATAGAGCATCAGCAACTTTATCTGCAAAAGAAAATATTAAAATTAATTACATATGCTAGTTGTTGATTTTATCAGTTGATATTTAATTAAATCTTACTGCAAGTTTTCCATTTTTTATGGAAAGCGAAGTTAATAAAATAAATATAATTGTATTTAAGCTAATGATTTTTGAGAAACTGTAATAAAATATGGAGACATAAACAAAACATGCAAATGCTACAATTAGAAAATACTTTGATATATCATTCTTTAAAATGCTGCTGTTAGTCTTTGTTATCATAACTAAATATGTGAGCATTCAAATAAGGTATAATAAGATAAAGAACATCATAGACAGTAGATAATTTAACATCCATCATAGACAGTAGATAATTTAACATCCATCAAAGTCAAATTTATACATATTTCATATTTTAAGTGTAAAAATACATATTTAAATATCTTCTTAGCTTTTTTATATTAGCATTGAAAAGTCATTCATTTGGTCAAATTTAAATAGTTCCCATGTGTAGACTGGATCTTACTAGGTTCTAGGATCCAATGCTCATTTCTTGCCTTTGTGAACACTTCATACATGAGGCCATGGATATACATGCAGGTTAAACACTCATATACACACAATGAAACTAATTAAATTTTCAAAAAAAGATGTTCTGCTATCCTGTTTGTATCCAGGTATATAAAGATAACAACAAGGTACCATATGCTTCACAAATCTCAGCAACAGGATTTGGTAAAATGTAAGTAGTTCCCATGTATAGATGTGGTTTATTTTAAGAGACAGATATACTAATGCAACAGAAAAAAGAGAAGCAAAATCAGATTGATCATGTTAAGGTTGCACTCTTCTATAGGCAAAGGAGGAGTAGGAAGAAGAGGAGGTGGAGTATGATCAATAGGATTGTTGATAATTAGCTACCATAAGGACAACACAGGCTGCCTTTCCTTTGTAATGGCTAACACATGGCATATCTATGTCACACAAATAAAAACTTTTCTGTTTGGGAAATTTTACTATTTCTACCGACTTACTTGATGGAAATGTGAGCTATCAATGGGTTTAGTTTCATTTTGGGGACTTGGAAGTTTATTAGAGATAGCTCAAGTTTGGTTTTTAATATGTTCAGGGAAAGAGATTACTCTAAAATTATGGTCTTCTACGACTTTTACTAAACAAGATTAACCTCTTATAGACGATCCAACATACAACTGACAATTTGGATATAACAGGGCTTTATTTTAAGCACAATTGTGACCATGAGAGGCAAATTAGCACACCTTCATTTTTTTCTCATAGTTTGGTGAAGACATCTTACTGATATAAATAATATAATTGTTCTTGCTAAATATGTGCAATAATTACAAGCTTATCACTGTTTCCTATAAGCTTATCTCCATGACAAAAATGTGTATATTCTGTTTCAAGAGAAAAGAAGCAAAGCCATTTTCTCTACAACATCTTTTCCTAGGTTCCTAGGAGTACATATTTGCTGACATTTTATTTGGTGGCAACACTAGTCACCCAGTCATAAACATCAGATGTCTTAAAAGGGTCCTTGTCACCTGGATTCTATTAACTCTGATGTTTCACCTACAGTTGCTAACTCTCATCCTGTTAGTTTTCCTCCTTTTCCATCCAATGTCAGTTTCATTCATCAGACTTGGAGCACAAGAAGGAACTCACAGAAAGCCAATAAACAGACAATCAGTTCTCAGGGCAAACCAGAAGCTCTTAGCATATTGTTTATTTTCACAAGCATTTCAGGTTTTATCTAAAGCCTAAGATGGACAGCATACTCACAGTTATTGTCCAAATTGCCTTTTCTTCAACAACAGTCTTGGAATAGTCTTTCCAATTTGTGTCAGGAGTAACATAATAGGAAATCACCCCATAACAGAAAATGTCATAATTATTTCATGAACAATAAGATCTTTGGAAATAATTACTTCATAACTAGCTAATATAACTATTCAGATACATACTAGTTATCATTCAAATATGTAACACATAATGCCATTTCTTTGTGTTCAGCATTCTTATCTCATTTGCCTTTATCTTCTCTATATGGGATATTGTCATATGACCTATGATACAGTGATGATGGTGTTGCATCATGTAGGCAGCACTCTGTAAAGCCAGTAGCCCTGGTTCTTTTATGCAAGTCCAATGCCCAGGGGGCCCCTCAGATTCACAGAGGAGCTGTCCCTTGGAAAACCCAGAGTCACACAGAAAATGATTAGAACAGCATGTAGCACAGAAGAGTACAATCTCCCCATGCTCAGTCATGTTATCTAATCCTGTACATTCCACAAGTCTTGTAAGTTAAAGTGAGATAATCTTCATCCTCTACGCCTTAATTTCATTTTCCTTTTCTGTCAGGATGCTTTATCTGACAATTCTTTGGACCTTTGCTCTACTTTATTGTATATGAATTTAATTCAATAACTTAGAGGAATGAAATCTCATCATTACAATAAAGGAAGATGGATGACCCTGGAAGAAACTATGTGAAATTCACCAGGCATAGAAGGATAAACCTTAAGCTCTCACTCATATCTGGCACTTAGAAAGGTTGATCTCATAGAGGAGGTTAGAAGAATGGTTACCAGTCCATAGAAAGTGTAAACGAGAAGGTGACAAGAGCTTTGTCAATCGTTGTACTGAATCTAGTTAGATAGGAGGAGAAGCACCTTCTCATTCACAATTGCAAAGTCAAATGACTAAAGTGAAAACATTGTATTACATGTTTCAACACAGTGAAAGAGAAGATTTTCAATGTTTTCACCACAAAATATACAGTGTTGGAAGAGTGGATATCTAACTGTCCTGATTTTATCATGATTCCACGTGTAGTTCTGTTCACTAAAACCACTCAATGTACACTCAGTAAGCTTATATAGTAGTTACATAACCCTATTTTAAGAAATTTATTTAAAAGATAAGAGAATATCTTTTTACATTTTTTCATGTAAATTTAGAAGTTTTGTCTGTATTTAAACCAGTGTTTAATCCCAAATTACTGTGTATTTATGATTTCACTTGAGGTCAAAATCACTGTGATTTATGTTGTTCATTTCTACTTCTACCATTATTTATGATAGATATTTTACTGTATTATTCAAAAATTTTACAAGACTCTATTAGCCATACAAATGTAATTCATATACATATGGATGCTGGAGATTCTCTTCACAGTGATTTTTTTATTTAGAAATTTTTCCATGTCAAGATCTCCCATGGGGAGTCAGCAGAGCCTGGCACACTCAGCTGAGGCAGGTCCAAGCCCTTCCCTCATGCACCAAGGCTGTGCAAATTGTCACACCCTAGGCACTGGGCTCCAAAAAGCCCATCCATGGAAGAGGGAAGAGGGAAGGGGGGATCTGTGGTGGTATGAAAAGTAAATAAAAAATTTAATAATAATAAAAACAGATAAAAAAGAAATTTTTTATTTATTTTACGTATCATTGACAGAACCCCCTCTTCTCTCCTACCACCCCTCCAGCCTCCCTCTCCCACCCTTTCCCTCCTACAAGAAGGTAAGGGGAGTCAGCAGAGCCTAGTACATTCAGTCAGAAAAGCTATGAATCCACAAGGTAAATTATAATCTTTCAATGGATACAGTTATAAATTATTAAACTAGCTTCTATGGATTTGTAAACAAACTTGGTATATTATTACATGTCCAGGTTTCTGCCCACATGAAACTGGCATAAGAAATGATAGCAAAGTAGTTGGTACACTTATATTTCATTGAGTGAAAAGTTTTTTTTTAAGTTTTAGGATAAAGTTTATTAGACAGTAAGCATTCATAATTGTATCCAAGAATTATCATATATATATATATATATATATATATATATATATATATATATATATATATATATATTGCATTGCCAATTCCTATGTTGATATGTGAATTGTCATCTATTAAAATATCTGATGTTTCTTCTGTTGTTATAAAACAATGCCAGAGAATGCAAATTTTCAATCTCAGGTATGTGATGAAACTGTGGACTAAAAATAATTATATTTTAAGAAATAGCTACGAAATTTTAGTTTAAAGATATTTATATTTCTGGGTTTTTTGTTTGTTTCTTTGTTTTTTTTAATTTTCGAGACAGGGTTTCTCTGTGGAGCTTTGCGCCTTTCTTGGATCCCGCTCTGTAGCCCAGGCTGGTCTCAAACTCACAGAGATCCGCCTGCCTCTGCCTCCTGAGTGCTTGGATTAAAGGCGTGCACCACCACTGTCTGGCTAAAGATATTTATATATGTTACATGTGTGTCCTGAAATTGAAAAAGAAATGCATTTTATTTCTTACTAGAACTAAGGAAGAGAGAAAAGATAAGCGGAAGTGGAGAGGAGAGAGTGGAAGAGGACAAGAGAGCTAAAGAGAGGGAAAGGGAAATGTGCACAGGAAAATGGGATAAACTCAGAGTGTGTTGGTGTGATGACATGCCACACTTCCTTGCTAATACTGGTATTATCTGGAGAAGAGGATTCCAGTTAATGTGGAGAGTGATTACTATCTTTCAACACAGATTTTCTGGAGACTTTATGTGAAGTTCCAGCATGGAAAATGGAGCTTGTGCGTATTGGAAATTTCGGTAGATTTCTTTTCAGATAGAAAACTTTCCATTATCCTCAATTTAGGCTTCCTGATAGTTGAAGTCAAAACCTGTTGATAAATATATTCTGTGACTTTGTTGAAATTGATGATTTGTACTACAAAATTTACTACTTAAGTGAATGTTTTGTAAGACCAGAAAATGAATATTTCTATAGTTGAGTCATTTTTATATAAATCACATCTTAATTTAAAAATATTGTTTA